GTACATGAAGTATACTTGTTGGTAAACTTCTGTTTTTCTCTTGTTAACCTGTCTTTGGTCACAGGGGATCTCAGCCAAGAACTCAGAAGGGTAAAGAGAAAATTCTTTTTCCTCCTCCACAGTTTCTACAGAGTATTCTGGCAAGAGATATGAAATACTTAGAGACCCCACAGTTTCTCCCTATAGCATAATAAACTTACAGGCATCGAATATTCCTACTATTGACTCACTGCTCTAAATACTGTATACTTTCATGGGGAAAAGAAAAGCTGCCTGAGGAGACTTTGAGTAATGTAATACTGCCCTCTAGCATCCAGTTTTTAAAATTACATAAAAATATACTGTATGCTCACAACTAGAGGGAAAAGTGTTTTTCTATTTATGTACAATAATAAATTCCTACAGAAGAGTGACAAATATAGTAAGAAAACAAATATTTACATATAATATTTGATAATATATTCATAACTAGTAAAAATGCCAAAACAGTCTTAGAAGCACCAGCTAAAGTGAAATCGGGAAGTACACGTTTCCAGTTTTGTTTTTTCAAAACTGTGTTGGCTCTTCTGGGTCCCTTGAATTACTATGTAAATATTAGGATTGTATTGTCAATTTCTTTTTAAAAAGTTTGCTGGGATTTTGCTAGGGATTGCATTGAGTCTGTAGTCAGTTTGGGGAGTACTGCCATCTTAATACTAAGTCTTCTGATCTATGAACATGGACATCTTTCCATTTATTAGATCTTCTTTGATTTCTTTCAACAGTGTTTTGTAGTTTTCAGAATATAAGTTTTTCACTTCTTTTGTTAAACGTATTCCTAAGTATTTTATTTATTTATTTATTTTTCGGTACACAGGCCTCTCTCACTGTTGTGGCCTCTCCCGTTGCGGAGCACAGGCTCCAGATGCGCAGGCTCAGCGGCCATGGCTCACGGGCCCAGCCACTCCGCTGCATGTGGGATCTTCCTGGACCGGGGCACGAACCCGTGTCCCCTGCATCGGCAGGCGGACTCTCAACCACTGCGCCACCAGGGAAGCCCTATTTTATTCTTTTTGATGGTAATGTAGATGAAATTATTTTCTTAATTTCATTTTGTAACGGAACCCAGGTTTGGCTGCTTGCCACTAATATGCCAATAATTCAAGAGGCAAGTGTCAGTAGAAAAGAAAGGTGCTTTGGGACTTCCCTGGTAGTGCAGTGGTTAAGAATCTGCCTGCCAGGCTTCCCTGGTGGCGCAGTGGTTGAGAGTCCGCCTGCCGATGCAGGGGACACGGGTTTGTGCCCCAGTCCGGGAAGATCCCACATGCCGTGGAGTGGCTGGGCCCGTGAGCCATGGCTGCTGAGCCTGTGCATCTGGAGCCTGTGTGCCACAACAGTGAGAGGCCCATGTACCACAAAAAAAAAAGAAAAGAAAAAAAGAAGCTGCCTGCCAATGCAGGGGACTTGGGTTCGAGCCCTGGTCTGGGAAGATCCCACATGCCATGGAGCAACTAAGCTCGTGTGCCACAACTACTGAGCCTGTGCTCTAGGGTCCGCGAGCCACAACTGCTGAAGCCCGTGCACCTAGAGCCTGTGCTCTGCAACAAAGAGAAGCCACCTCAATGAAAAGCCCACACACCACAAGGAAGAGTAGCCCCCTCTCACCGCAACTAGAGAAAGCCCGCCTGTAGCAACAAAGACCCAACACAGCCAAAAATAAATAAATAATAGAGAAAATAAAAAGATCACCATTAAGAAAAGAAAAAAAAAGGTGCTTTAATCAGAAAAGACAGGGTGATTCCCTGGCGGTCCAGTGGTTAGGACTCTGTGCTTTCACTGCCAAGGATCTGGGTTCAATCCCTGCTTGGGGAACTAAAATCCTGCAAGCCACACGATGTGACCAAAAATAAGAAGAAGAAGAAAGAAAAAGAAAAGCTGGCAATCTGGGGAGATGGTAAACTCATGTCCAGAGACCAACTCCAAAGATTCTGCTCAGCCATGAGAGTTTTTAAATGGAAAAATGGGGGAAAGAATCTCACTGAATCATTGAGGCATGAGGTTGGGTTTTGCATCATTCTCCATTGAGTGCAGACTGGCAGACTCTTTCTTCAGAGAGAAGAAAATCTTGCCTGCATGGTCGGCCTGTAGGATTGCTAAGGGAGCTGTTGGGGGTAGAAAGCAAGTCATTTTTTTAACTGCTTAATTCTTCATTCTTAATTCTTTTTATCTAGGAAAAGAATCAACAGGTTAGACAAGGCATGATGTGCATCCAGGAGAGCATAAGTCAGGAGTTTAGTTTCAATTGTTTAGTGATCTCATTCCTATAATTAGGTTCTTTTAAGGTTAGAGGGGAACCCAAATGGGCAAACAGGAAAAGGGCAAAGAGCTGCTTTTAATTTTTGGATTGTTCATTGTGTAGAAATAAATTGATTTTTGTATATTGATCTTGTGCCCTGCAACCTTGCTGAACTCATTTATTAGTTCTAATTTTTATTGTATTCCTTAGTACCATATTACCTAACTACAAATAAAGAGTTTTAATTTTTCCTTTCCAACATGAATGCCTTTTCTTTTTCTTCCCTAATTTCCATGGCTAGAACCTCCAGTGCAGTGTTGCATACAAGTGGCAAAAAGAAAAAAAATTTTTTTTTTTTTTTTTTTTTTTTTTTTTTTTTTTTTGCGGTACGCGGACCTCTCACTGTTGTGGCCTCTTCCGTTGCGGAACACAGGCTCCGGACGTGCAGGCTCAGCGGCCGTGGCTCACGGGCCCAGCCGCTCTGCGGCAAGCGGGATCCTCCCAGACCAGGGCATGAACCCGCGTCCCCTGCAACGGCAGGCGGACTCTCAACTACTGCGCCACCAGGGAAGCCCCAGGGAAATCCTTGTCTTTGTTCCTGATCTTAGGGGGAAATTATTTAGTCTCTCACCGTTAAGGATGATGTTAGTGGTGGGTTTTTCATAGATGCCCTTTATCAGGTTGAGGAAGTTACTTTCTGTTTCTGATTTGTTGAATGTTTTTATCATGAATGTTGGATTTTATCAAATGCCTTTTCTGTGTCTATTGAAATGATCATGTCATTTTTGTCCTTTATTCTATTAATATGGGTGCCATAGGCAGAAATATGCCCCCACCCAAAGATGTCCATGTTCTAATTCTCAGAACCTACAAGTATATTGACCTTAAAATAGGGAGATTATCCTGGATTACCCAGGTGGGCCCAATGTAATCATAAGGGTCTTTAAAAGTAGAAGAGGGAGACAGAAGAAGGAGAACCATAGAGATGGCAGCGTAAGAAAGACTTTGTCCAATGTTGCTCACTTAGAATATGGAGGAATTCAAGGAATGTGGCGGCCTTTAGAAGCTGGAAGAGTCAGGGAGGTAGATTCTCCCCTAGAGCCTCCAAAAAGAACGCTAAGCTCCTAATACCTGCTTTTAGCCCAATAAGACCCATTTTGAAATTTTGACCTTCAAAACTGTACAATAATAAATTAGTGTTGTTTTAAGCCATTAAGGTTGTGGTTATTTGTTACAGCAGCAAGAGGAAACTAATACAGTGTACTACATTAATTGATTTCCAGATGTTAAACTAACCTTGCATTACTGGGGTAAATCCCAGTTGATCATGGCATGTAACCCTTTCTGTGTTGCTAGATTTGGTTCGCTTATGTTTTATTGAGGATTTTTGAGTACACGTTCATAAGAAATATTGGTCTGTTGTTTTTTGTGTATGTGATGTTTTTGTCTGGCTTTGATGTCAAGGTAATACTGACCTCATAGAATAAGTTGGAAAGTGTTCCTCCCTTTTCTATTAGTATAACCACTACAGCTTTGTTACAGTTGCTGTCTGCATGATATATCTTTCTCCATCCTTTTACTTTCAACCTATTTGAAACCTGTCCTTAATCTAGATCTCCTGTAATAACAGACTTCCTCTATAATAACTGATATTTTTTATGACAATTAAAACTGCATTTGTTATATTTTTAGCTGCTTTTAAAAAAATTAGCTGGTGAAGTAAACCTTTGTTTTCACAACTATAACTTCTTGTTTCCAAACACTCTCTAGTTCTCTTTCTTGCACTAAATCTTTAATGTTTTGGCTTATTTTTGTTTTACTTAAAATAAAACTTAGTAACCATGTGTTGGGCCTGCTTTTTTTCCTAGTGGTCTATGAAATCCTTAAGTCTGAGAATGACTAAACTAGAAATTTCCCAAGACTAGGTTAGAGATATGTTATACATACAACATAGGTTGTATCTATGGAACAAGTTAAACTCCTGAATAATTTTTAAAGTAATAAAATTTTAGCAGTATTTTTGCATTAAAGTATTAAAAGCATTAAAAGATACTATAAAAACTGACTTTGCAAAAGATATGTAAACTATATTAAAATCACTGCTATATATTGTGAATAATTGAAAACCATCTAAATGTCCAGTCATAGAGATTGGTTAAATTACAAGGAATTCATGTCATAGATCTATTTAAAACCATGTTTTATAAATATTATATGACATGGAAAAATGTTCAACTACAGGTCAAGTTGTCCTGTTTTAGTAACTACTCTGTCCCCTAACCTTCATGGGCATGTTGCAACTTCCCAAGGTGTTTTACTGTACCTGTTGGCTTTCTTTAATCATGCTTTCTTTAATCACTCCTTTGTAGTTCAAAGCTGTTCAAGCACCCTAGTTTAGTGTGTCATCTACTTCCTGCCAGGACCCTGAGAAACTTTAACCCTATTACTCTCTGGTTGGTGAAATTAAGATGAAATTACAGAGAAAACAGTAAATACCTGTTTTTTAGAAGTATTACTATGATATGTTTACTGCAGCGAATAATAGTGGTTACCACTAATTAAATGTATTTTTAGCTTATAGTATGCTTTATATATCATCTCATTTAATCCTTTAAATGACCCTATGAGATATAATAGTTATCATCATCCCCAGTTTATACATGAGGACACATTCAATATCTTTGATTACTGTGAATTAACATATTGTCATTGTTTTCTTTTGTAGATCATTCACGAGAAATCTTGGAGCAATTAGTAGGCCCAAACAAACTAAAGCAAGTGACGTGGACTGTGTATTAATGCTTATTGAAGCTTATCAAAGCTATGATCTTCATACTACTTTCCCAGGAAACAACGATCTAGAGATTGGCTTTCCAATAATATGATTTATGCTTTGAAGTTAACCAGGCTCTTAAACATTTTAATAGTGCTATTATTTCTAAGTTTGTTTGAGGAGTGATTGTTCTTGAAATGACAATTCTAGCACGCCCTCTGATGTATTTGGGGAGGGTATTGTGTTTGTTTCTTTAATAGCAAAGTTTTAAATTACCTGTTTTCCCTGGAAATTTCCTTCTCCTACCTAGATATTTGAGCTGCTGTAAGAGAAATTTACCAATATGGATAAACATTAGGAAAATTCTAAGTAAAGGTATTTCTAAAAGCATAATTACCTTCCTAGCTATTTTTTGGCTGCTACCTTCCAAATTATTTAAATGTCCACTGGCCAGAAAGCAAAGCTGAACATCAGGCCTGTAACTTCTTCACAGAATTTATTATTTCAATGAAACAAAGAAATATAATAGTTTAATGTCATAATCCAGGACATCATATACCTTAGCCATTCAGCACATGAATGTTACTGAGTATGGCTACTTTTCCCAAATACATGCTATTCATCTACAAACTTTCATCCTTAAAAACTGCAGTCAAGAATGTGTAAGAATTAGTAAACACGAAATGTCATCACAGAGGTTGTATCCTGAAGCTCTACTGGTTTCACATTGTGAAATAAACACACAGGTCTTAGTTTTAAAATGAAATGTATTACTCTCTATAATCACAAAATTCTCTGAAGTATACTGTGCTTAAAATACCCCCAAATTCAGCATATTCCCTGTGCCATGAGCCTGTCTCTGTGGGACTGTTCTTAAAGATTTCCTATTTTAACTGTGATGTAGTGAATAACAGGGAAAGTGTGGTATGGTAGATTTCTTGTATATGTTTAGAAGGAAGGGTTTACATATTCAACTCTACTCCTTGTCCTTACTATTAACTACTTTATAAATGTGATATGTTTATAGCGTAGATAACATATATTGCCACTGCAAAGGTGGTACATATGTATATATGTGTAAAATGGGTAAGGCCTGTTCCATCTATGAAATTTTTCTAAAGACAAATTCAGTAAGATTTAATATTGAACACCTAACCAAGTCAATAGCTTCTCCTGCTTTTGGGGAAACTAGTTTCAAGATCTAAGGTATCAGATTTTTAGAGTCTATAAAGGATTTATCATTCTAAAGCAGTTTGCAGCTTGATCTTTTTTTTTTATACTGCTAGTTACCTTAGCTGTTTCTCAGCACTCTGTTTAAAATTTGGGTCTCCCATCCCTATCCTACCTATCCCTGTCACCCTTACCTGTCACTCTAGACTCTATTTTTCCCCTTTCCATCTGTCACCATCTGACATGTTTTATTTTTTATTTATTATCTGTCTCCCCACCCTAGTATATAAGCTTCATGAAGACAAATTATTTCTCTTTTTTTCACTGCTGTATCTCCAATACCTAGAACAGTGTCTGGTACATAATAAACACCCAAATATTTGTTGAATGAATAGACAAGAAAATAAATAAAAGTAATACCCATACTTCAAGTTTCTGGTCTGTGACGTACAGAGATTAGAAGTCATCACTCCTGTCCTCACAAGATAAAAGCTGAACAAACTGAAAATCATGAAGCAGTACAGTGTTTGTTATTTCAAAATGGACTTGTATTAGTTGTAAATATACACTGCAAACTCTAGGGCAAGTGCTAAAAAAATTTTTTTAATAAATATAACTGACATCCTAAGGGAGGAGAGAAGATGGAATCACATAAAATCCTCAATTAAAACCAGAAAAGGGGGAATTGCATGGTGATCCAGTGGTTAAGGACTCTGTGCTCTTACCGCCAAGGGCCCGGGGTTTGATTCCTAGTCAGGGAACTAAGATCCCACAAGCCATGAGACGCAGCACACACAAAAAAAGATAAAACCAGAAAAGGCAGAAAAAGTAGAACACAAAAATAGAAACAAAGAACAAAGGCAATGAATAGGGAACAGTTATAAATATGGTAGAAATTAATCCAACTATATCAATAATCTCTTTAAACGTGAACAGTCTTAATACAGACATGTTTGTTATACTATGAAATCATTTCAAGGATCACTGTTATATATATGGGCAATTTAAAAATATTTTAAGTAATATTTGGATGTCTCAAAGACCTTCTTGTACCCTCCTCATAAATACTTAAGAAAGGATAACAGAAACAGTGTTGTAGATATTTATTTCTGGCTGTGTTGGGTCTTAGTTGCGGCACGCGGGATCTTTTGTTGCGGCGCTCAGGCTGTTCATTGTGGCACTTGGGCTTCTCTCTAGTTATGATGCATGGGCTTAGCTGCCCTGCGGCATATGGGATCCTAGTTCCTCAACCAGGGATTGGAAGGCAGATTGTCAACCACTGGACCACCGGGGAAGTCCCATGCAGATATTTAAAATTGAATCTACTCTTGGCCTCTTCAAGCTGATTTCCAACAGTGCTCCAGAGTATAATTTCCTTTCATTTTCTCTCTTATCTTGCTGAGAAGGACAATACCCAGCAGACTATCCTGAATTTTCAAAGAGTGTGTCAACAAAACTACTTCCTCCCAAATGCCATCCAGTGCCACTGTAGCCTATCATTTCCATTCATTTTAACCAATGCTGAATCAAAATTTTGAGTTTATAATTAAGCCCCAGTAGACCAATGGAAATTGGATACAGCAAGAGTTGATTCATTGGGTTGTAATAAACTCTGACTTCCAGAGTTCAAGAATCACAAGATCCTCTGTGACCCAGCTCCAAAACTCCCACCTAATGATACAGTTTTCCTGCCTAAGCAACAACCTGCCCTTAACTGCTTTCTCTACATTTCTTTTGAATGACTATAGCTCTGACCATGTCTCCCTGGTATCCTAATCCCACTGGCATGTGTGTATTATTAGAAAGCATATAATGCGAGTGTCAAACAATTCCTAAGCAGTATATGAGAACACGAGAGTACAGCTGACCCTTGAACAACATGGGTTTGAACTGCACTTATATGTGTTTTTGTTTGGTTTGTTTCAATAAATACTACAGTACTATACGATCCATCCCCGGATGCAGAAACTTGGATGCGGACTGTAAAGTTATACATAGATTTTCAACTCCAGGGGGTGGGTGGGGTAGTCAGCACCCCTAACGCCCATGTTGTACAAGCATCAACGGTACATTCGCAAGGCTGTGTTTTATACCTGTAACATATATCGTGGTCACGTTTTGTTTTAAATTGGAGAATAGGAAATATAATACATGTAATTGGTACGAAATTACAAGACCCAAAAGTAAGAACTAGGTCTCCCTACCACCCTCATCCACCAGCCACCTGGTACCCTCTCAGAAGACAACCACTGTTACCAGTTTCTTTCCAGGGATATTCTATATCTACTACAAGTAAATATGCATTCTTTACACATACATTCATATGTAGGTATATACATACATCTTTTTTACATAAATAGTGTATACTATACACATTCTTCACATTGTTTTTCATTTATGTCCTAATGCTCTTATTGATACATAAGATCTTGACAAGCTGGGGCATGTAGTGGTGACATAACCAATTTCTAGCTGACCTTAGTAAATCATAAAGAGGCATCATAAGGTATCACAGTACTGAGTATGTAGGAAATTCTAAAATCTTTATCTGTGTTTCTTAATTGATGCCCTATTATGTACTTATCCTATATTACACACTTTATACTTTAATTTATTATAATAACCCTTTGAGGTGCAGTTTATTAAATTTTATTACTATTTTATAGGTGAAGAAATGAAAGCTCAGAGAGCTTAACTAGCCCAAAATCCCAACTAGAAAGTGACAGAGTGGCCTCACCCCGAAGCCCATGTACAGTAAGTCCCCTATATATGAATGAGCTCCATTACGAGAGTGGGTTCGTAGGTCCAACAAAGTTAGCCTAGGTACCCAACTAACACAATCAACTATACAGTACTCTACTGTAATAGGTTTATAATACTTTTCACACAAATAATCATAAAAAATAAAACACTTTTAATCTTACAGTAGAGTACCTTGAAAAGTACGGTAGTACAGTACAACAGCTTGCATACAGGGGCACTTTAATATCTTTGAAAGTTCACAACTTGGAGGTTCGTATGTAGGGGACTTAACTGTATTCTGTACCATACCAACTGCATCTCTGATCTTAACAGATAATTTTTTTTAAATATAGTATTCTTCCGTATTTTTTATTTTGTTTAATTCAAAGATACATCACAGTTGTCCTCAACTATAGGAGACTCTGCTAAAATATCTAATTCCTCTCAGCTACTTAAATTACATGTGGATATTGCCTTCTATAATTATATTCCTATAGCAGTAAAACTAGAAAAAAAATACAGATAGAGATTTCTATATTTGGCTTACTGCAGAACAAGTTACATGACAAAGGGTGACAAAACTTCAACCTTCATATTTTGGAAACAAGATTTGCCATTTAACACAAATTTCCTTCTTTGAACTGGACAGTCTTTTAGGGTTAAACCCAAACATAGCTATATCCATATTGGAGGTACTTCAACAGCTCAAGGCTGAAATTCCCACACAGTGCTTGTTGTCAGTCCGTTGTTCTCCTGCCTAGTGGGCTCTGGAAGTGAATATTCTGCTACTTTGTGCAGTTGATGCTGAATGCTATGTCCACTGAACTGGGGTCGCCCAGGGTCACCAATCAGTACTCGAGTTTTGTAGACCCAAAAGCACTTTTTCAGCCATTGATGTAGACTGTCTGCAAGGTCTTCATCATAAAACATATCTCCAAGCACAACAAGGTCCCACTTATCTTGTTCCAAATCCAGCATGTTTTTGGTTAAAATGGGAAAAGGATTCAGTTGGTTCAACTCACAGTTTAGTGTAATAGCCATTCCTGCAACTTTAAAAAAGCACATAGTGAATTGGTATATGCTAGGTTGTTTTAATTCCCTATTAATTAATTTAAATAATCTAGAAAATCTCCAACAATATGTTTTTTTCCCATTCTGTTGAAAGTTGTTTTTTTAGGTAAAGAAGCCTAAAGTATATGCCAATATAAGCTATTACCTGCTATTCTCAAATATATGAATATCCTGAACATAAAACAATACCAAACACCTGGAAATGTTGAGGTTTTAAGGAACATTTGCTGATCTACAAGCCTTGTGCAGCAGTATGACAAGTTGGACCTGAGACCCCATATACAATAAAGCTCCTCAAGGGCTAGATCCTCAGTGAAAGGGAAGACTAGAAGAAAATCAGATGAAATTAAACCTTACCTGTCTCAACTTGGGTTCGAATGGAATAAAATCTCCTTCAAAGACACTGGCCTATCTTCACTTGGGTTTTGGTCAAATAAACACTACCTACATATTTCAGGAAATGCCTAGCCCAGCAATGACCAACAGTTAAGTGCTCCCAGGTTGGTATCACTTTGGTATATCTGCCAGACACAAAATGGAAGTCCTCCTGTGAAAAATGCACCATCAACTCAGGCCTCACAGGATTCCCACAGATAATGTCCCACTGAGTAAGTTCACAATATCAGATTATAAGATTCACATGGAAATGGGCTAGGCTATGATGGGTTGAGGCATCTGTAGATATTTATCCTGGAAGAAAAAACGATGAGCTTCAAATATTTTAAAATGTGAAATTCTTACTAGGGTCTATGTCATTGGCCAAGATCCTTAAAGCTCCACTCATCTTAGCAGCGATAGCTGTAGCTCCACAACCACTCCCAATATCTAACACAGATTTTCCTCTGACAACGTCAGGATTATCCAAAAGATACCTAAATTAGAAAGAAAAGGGAAAACATTATCTAAGATAGAAGAAGGTCAATAAGAGGTGTACAAAAATTTTTCTTTGGATTGACTGGACAAAGAAATAGTGAAACTTGGCAGAAGAATTTGGTCCAACATTGGCAAGTTTGGCCTGACTAGAATGAGATAAAATGTCAATCTTAAGAGCTGGGCAGAGGTGGCAGAGAGAGGACCCAGTCATTTTGGTCTTTCTCTTTGGCAGGTGTGAAGGGCAGTTCCATACAACTGACTAATCATGCTCTTCAACTTTTTAGAAGTAGTGAGCACTTACTATGATCCAGAAACTACTAAGCACCCAAAACACAGACTGATAAAATACTGCTAAAATCAGGACTCAGTAAGCTAGATGCAAAATTCAGAGTCTCCTTTTCATTGTTCAGCAGAGAGTGGTTTTACCTACTGCTTGAACTGTTTTATAATGACCTCTCTGGTAAGGTACAATCAAAGTCCAGTTCAACCAAAGAATTTGGACCTGGGCTAAGTAGTTACCAAGCAAGTGAAGATGAATGGGAAAACACTGAAATAATAAATGTCAACTGACACTTGACCTTAGTATTGTAATAATAAAGAAGAGCAGAGGGAATTCCCTGGCGGTCCAGTGGATAGCATTCCATGCTTTCACTGCTGAGGGCCCATCAGGGAACTAAGATCCAACAAGCCAAAAAAAGACTAAGGAACTATGGCAAGGTGGGGATGTAGTACCCTGCCTGAAGGGGCAGCTGTTACCCATCTTGAGCTAATTGTTGCCCCACAGAAATGGGGTGTTATCAGAGATTTAAATCCAGTGTTATCAGATATTCTTTTTTTTTTTTTTGGCCTTGCCTCCTGGCTTGTGCCATCTTATTTCCCCGACCAGGGATTGAACTCAGGCCAGGCAGTGAAAGCGCCGAGTCCTAACCACTGGACTACCTGGGAATTCCCCAGAGATTCTTTTATTTCAAATCGAAATAAATTTTTACATGCAATCCCTCAAGTTTTAAATGTTAGCAACTGATGTGTTTTTTTAAGTTTACAAGTAAAGGCCAAAGAAAACACATCTGTGGATCACCTATTTGTGACCTCTGATTCAGACAAGTCTCTTAAGGAATTTGATGGCAGTTATATTTGGAGTTGATAAACAACAACTTGCATAGATATCACTTAAAATGTATTCTTTTTAATGATATAAGTAAATAAAGCTTGAAAATTTGGCAACACAACAGCCAGAATATTGGACTTGTTAGATATTGGAAAGCTTTCCAGAACTTAGGGTTCTCCAAAAGCTCTATGTTTGCATTTATTTATTTTGCATTTAAAACTATATACAACCTAAATTCTGCTAGACCATACCATTCCTGTGAAAGAGAAGTCCTTATCCTTTTCCTTTCAGTTTTGTAACCTCAAGGCATAAAAAGATTAAATCATTTACCAGTCTAAGAGCAAAGATTAGATTAAAATGCTGTAAGTTCTTGCCTTTGTTTCAGCGGCTGTTTTAATAAAAAGCACTGTGTGAATGTGTGAGAAAATGTCCTAAAGAAGACCTTTGCAGTATGGGGAGTTAGAAAGGGGGAACCTTAAAAATGCAGAGGCAGTGCCGCAACTAAGAGCCCGCATGCCACAACTAAGACTCAGCGCAGCCAAATAAATAAATAAATAAATATATATATATATATATTTTTTTTTTTTTTGCGGTACGTGGGCCTCTCACTGCTGTGGCCTCTCCCGTTTGCGGAGCACAGGCTCCGGACGCGCATGCTCAGCAGCCATGGCTTACGGGCTCAGCCGCTCCGCGGCATGTGGGATCTTCCCGGACCGGGGCACGAACCCGTGTCCCCTGCATCGGCAGGCGAACTCTCAACCACTGCGCCACCAGGGAAGCCCATAAATAAATATTTTTTAAAAATAATTTTAATGCAGGTGCAACTCCAGAGTTCACCTGAGTAATGTCCCAATCATTCACATCCCTCGTCCTTTGGGAGCCTGGGAAGAGGCAGAGATGGAGGAAGTGTAAGGTTTAAGGAGCAATATTTACAGGATTAAACCAGGTGACCTGAAGGACTGGGGCTTTAAGCTTCACTGAGGAACTCTGCATGGGCCATGCATCATGAACCATGAACCTGAGAACAGTGTGAGATTTCTGGATCATGACCAGCTACCTAGGGTCTTGACAGCTGACCTAGGATTTCTCTTGGGGAGAGAGCTATATATTGGGAAACACCTTGATAAGCTTGGAGCAGAAGGTAAAGCTATGCAACAAAGCAACCCAAAACTATTCCTAAACTGCTGTAAATTAAGAAAAGAATTTGGGGTTTTACTCTGGTTTTCTGTGAGGAGCAGGGAGAACAAGGCATTGGAAGGGGCTGAAAAGAGTAAGGATATGCGGAGCCCTAAAGGTTCCCGCTTCACTTATGGCCGTACCTAGACAGGGCTTGGCCTCCTGGCCAGTAGACTGCCCAGTAAGGATCACTGTGGGGCCACAGGTCAGCTCTCTCCCACCAGAACTTGCATCTGGGGGTCAAAAGCCGCAACTGGATTTCAGGGGTGAGGCTACCACGGCTGGGGACTTCAGTGTTCTGCTCCAGGAAAGCTTTCATCTCAGGGTCTAAAAAGCTTCCGGTTCCCCTCCAGGGGCAGTGGCCCCAGGGAAACAAGGGAAAACCGCTGCTTCTCACAGCCTTCCGAAGGACACCACAGCGGTTCATGGCAAATGATGTAAACGCTCTCCAACCTGGGCTCAAGGCCATCGGTCCTGTCCTAAAGCACAGGTTTGTTGGTGCTGCTCTTGATAACAGCTGCTCCTCCTGGGGAAAGAATAAGGGTCTGGCTGCCAAACTGATCTCAACTGGAATCTCTGGACCTCTAAAAACATAAATAATACTGAAAACTCCAAGGCTCACCAACACTTCCAAATCCTATTGCACAGTAAGAAAATGTTAGTGTTAGCTCTGTAGCAGATGATGCACAAGTGCAAGTTCATTTTAGGTGAAAGTGTTGGTGCATTAATTTAGGAAAATCCAATCTTCTAAAAGATGCCTTTCCACAACAGAATCCTTTTTAGTAACTTATAACAACAAATATACAAGCATCTGATTTTGAGAGAATCCTCAGGAACACGCCTTTTACATAAAATAAAGTATACCTTTAAAGTTCTTTTATTCATTTAATAAATCACTTCCCTTTAAGCAGTCACTGTGCTTGGCAACTGTGAACAAAATAAAAAGTCCCCATCTTCAGGAAGCTTAGATTCTAGTGATGGAATAGAGCAATTATCAAGGCAAACACAGTTCTTGCCTTTATGAAGTCTAGCCAAGATTGTGCAGATTACCAAATTGTAACTGTGGTTAAAGATATACAAATTATACTGACTGCTCAATAAAGATAGTCCTAGCATAAAACATCAATGTAATCAAGATTCAGGTGTTTTTCTAAAAACAAACAAAAACAAAACAAACAAAAAATTATGGATTTAATTGTAATAAAAGAATATCAACTCCCAAATCTCTTTCTGTAAATACCTCTGATGAGTCATCTTTACCAAACCTGGACTTAATAGAAAGACACCTTGATAAAAATAAGAATGAGGAAGAGCAGTTTAAGCACAAATTATACACCCAGTTGTTTGGGACCTCTGATCTGTTCTGCATAAATATATAAATAGTCTTACGTCCACCCAAGTACTTAGAGTAGGGGCCCCAAACTCAAATGCCTACCCAGAGCCAGACTGGTGATAAATGAGTGATGCAGGCTGGCTGTTAGATCACAGAAGGGCTGTGGCAAACTGGAAACTATTTCAAAACAGTCCAAAGGAGCCAGCCAGGGGACACGTGGTCAGATCTTTCAATTTCTCAAAACAATCCAGCTATTTACCCATAAACTCCCACTTTTAAACGTGGGCAATTAGTTAAAATACCAAGACACGAGGAGGGGCAAAATGTCTGTCTGTGAACCAAGGATAGACCTTAAGTGGGTGTGCCAGCCCACGTTTATCCCTTGTAATCTCAGGGTCTCTAACCGCCTGACCTCATTGGACTAATGGTGTAGGGAAGGATTGGGTCAGCCGTTGAATCTCAAGAGCCTAAGGTTTGAAAAGAAAGCAGAGCAAATAAAAGATGATTGATTTTGGACACCCTGTCATGCAGACCGATGATGCCCCGCCCACGCCAGCACCAATGAAGCATCCGTTATGAATATGTGATTATGCGGTGGACACTCGGTAACTGGATTAACTGGTACGGTAAGAAGACAGGTTTAAAGGGGCAAGTTACAAAGTGTTAGCACGTAACTTCCCTCGAAGGAGGACGGGAGTCAGTCTTAAAGGGGCAGGCACAGTCCTCCTTTTCTCCTTACCTGGCTGTGCTAACACCGTCCTGGGAAGCTAAGCACAGGACAGGTGTGTCACTCGCCTTTGTGCCTCTTTTCGCGCCTTCTTTACAACTGCACGCTGGGTCCCACTTCCCCCCCCAGAGCCGACCCCCAACACCCAGCACCCCAACCCCCGCCCTGCGTCCCCGCCCCGCCCTCCTGCTCCGCCCTCCTTCCCGGCAGCACTTTCTCTCCCTTACCTGGGCTTCTTAAAGGGATAGGAAGTGCGAAATCAGCAGGCGCCCTGACCTCATTTGGGGAATAAGGGAATGTCAAATACTGATTTCTAAAAAATCCACTCTGAAGCCGTGGATCATCTGCTTCGTGTCAATCACACTTCTAGGCACTGGGCATAGAGCGGTGAGCAAAATAGACACAGCACAAACCCTTAATGACGCTTATATTCAACTGGGATTAAATCATAATATCTCCTCCCTTTTATAATAATTTTCATACACGTACAATCTTTTTCGTTTTCAACTGTAACTTCTCATTTCAATAACACTGATTCTCTTGCTAGTAACAATTCTTAATAGATGTTCAAGATCAATTTGTCTAGGGACTTCTCTGGCAGTCCAGTGGTTAAGACTACACGCTTGCACTGCAGGGGGCGCGGTTGCATCCTCTGTCAGAGAAATAAGATCCCGCATGCCGCCCACCCCCCACCC